CAAACAAACAAACAAACATAAAATAGACAAAATATATGAAAGGATGGTTTTCAAGACACTGGACATCAGGCAAAAAGGACAGTGACAGCTGAAATATGGGAAACAAACTAGATAAGCTATACAATTGTCCCAGCTTACTGCTTTGAGAGACTTTCCAGGCAACAGAACAATACAGTAGAGGAGCTTGGCAGACATCCTGAGTTGAAGAGAACAAACTGAGAGTCTGAGGAGGCCAACACAGCTAGATTTCATAGGACAAGAGATCCGAGAAGAGAAAGCAGTACAGAGAGAGAACCCCAAACATCTGCAGAGAGTCCCTTCAAGCATTCAGCTTCGTAATGATCAGTGAGCACACATGTGAGAAAATACCCAGAAGAGGGGAAAAAACTGTCTGAAAGGATTAGAGAGAACAGTGGATGTTTCCACCAGCAAGACTGGAAAAACTCATGATTCACAGGGCATTGGTTAAAGTACTCAAGAAAGTCTTGCCTCAGTAGAAGAGAACAATTACTGTTGAACTGGACACTGTTGCAGAACCACCTAACAAATCATAAAAGCAAGATGCAAAAGTATTAAATTGTTTCCATGTAACTCAACTGCATTCCCAGAATAAAGCTCAAGAAGAGTTATAGGAAAGCAAAAATATCCAGCACCCAACAAAGTAAAATTTACAATGCTTGGCATCCAACATAAGATACCAGCCATGTAAAGAGTCAGGAAAACACATACCATAATGAGAATAATCAATCAAAACCACCCAAAACTAACAGAAATGGTGGATAGCACAGGAGGACATCAAAACAGTTATTACAGGGTGTGTATTCTACATGTTCAAAAAGTTAAGTAGATCACGGAAGATATGAAAAAGTCCAAAATTGGAATCCTAGACACAAAAATTATAATGTCTGAGATGAAAAAATACACTCAATGGTATTAACAGCAGATTTGACATTGCAGAAGAAAAGATTAGTAAACTTGAAGGCATAGCAATAAAATGTATACAAAATGAAAAATAGGGAGAAAAATAAAATTCAGTTTAATGAAAAGAACATAAGTGAGCTGTAGGACAACTAATGTATGGGTAACAGGAATCCCTGAAGAAGAAGAGAGAGAGGATGGGTCACTAAAAATATTTGGAGAAATAATAGCCAAAATTTTCAAAAACCCTATGAAAACTATAAACATACAGATCCAAAAGCTCAAAAAATCTCCAAACACAAGAAACATGAAGAAAAATATGCCAAGAAACATCATAATTAAGTTGCACAGAACCAGTGACAAAAAGAATATCTTAAAAGCAGTCAGACAAAAAAGACACATTATATACAGAGAAACAAAGATGAGAATGGTATTACACTTCTATTTGGAAATAGTGAAAGTGAGAAGGCAGTGAAGCAACATCCTTAAAATACTGAAAGAAAATAACTGTCAACCTAGAATTTTACACCCAACAAAAGTATCGTTTAAAAAAACAAAGGCAAAATTTTCAGCAAAAGAAGTTGAAAGCATTCATCACCAGCAGACCCACACTAAGAAAAATACTGAAGGAAATCCTTCAGGCAGATAAAATATGACACCAGATAAAAATACAGATCTACGAAAAGAAATGAATGGTACCAGAAATGGTAATGACAAGAGTAAATATACAATATTTCTTTTATTATTTAAAACTCCTTAAAAGATAAACTTTTTAAACAAAAAAGAATAACATTGTATTGTGGGGTTTATAAAATAGGTAAAAGTAAAATACATGACACCAATAACATAAAGTCCAGAAAGGTAGAAATAAAAATACACTAGCGTAAGGTTCTTATACTATACTATACACAAAACATTATAATATCAGTTAAGGTTGACTATGATAATTTAAAGATGCATACTACAAATCCTGAAGCAATTAACAAAATAACAACAAAGCTACAAAACAGTCAACAAAGCTAATGAGCCAACAAAGGACATAAAACTGTGTCACAAAGAAACACTGATCAATCCAAAAGAAGACTAAAAAAGAAACAAAGATCAGATGGTACAAGTAGGAAAAAAAAACAATATAATCAAACCTAACTATATCAATAATGACATTGATAATTGTCAATGTAAATTGTCTAAACACTCCAATTAAAAGGCAGAGACTGTCAGACTAGATAACAAACCAAGTCCCAATTATATGTTGCCTATAAGAAAAGTACTTTAAATACGAAGATACAAATTAGTTTAAAGTAAAAGAAAGAAAACATAAACTATGTTAATACTACCCAATAATACATTGGAGTCGCTATATTAAGATTATACAAAGTGGATTTCAGAGCAAAGAATATTACCAGGAATAAAGAAAGTCACTTAATAATTATAAAGGGGCCAATTAATTAATAGGACATAATAATCTTAAATGTTTATGCAGCTAAAAATACAGCTAAAAATACGTAAAACAAAAACTGATAGAACTGCAAGGAGAAATAGACAAATTCAAGTACAGTTGTATATTTCAACACTCCTCTCTTCATAACTGATAGAACAGATAGGCAGAAAATCAACAAGGATACTGTAGACTTGAACAATTCTATTAACCAACTTGACCCATTTACAAAGACTCTGTCAAAAAACAGCTGAATATACATCCTTTTCAAGTACACACAGAACATTTACCAAAATAAGCCATATTCTGGGCCGTATAATAAGTATCAACACATTTCAAAGGATTCAAAGCATACAAAATATATCTAGGACCACAACAGAGTTAAATTAAAAATCATTAACAGAACGATCTCTGGAAATCCCCCAATACATGCAAAATAAATAACATACTTCTAAATTATTCATGGGTCAAAGAAGAAAAGGAAAATTAGAAAGTATTTTTAACTGAATGAAATTGAAAAGACAACATATCAGAATTTTGGGGATGTCACTGAAGCTATACTTAGGGGGAACTGACAGAATGTGATGTTCATGTTAGAAAAGAAGAAACATCTCAAAGCAATGACCTCAGCTTCCACCTAAAGAAACCAGAAAAAGAAGAGAAAATTAAACTTAAAGTAAGTAGAAGAAAAAAATAATAAAGATTAAGGACGAAATCAACAATAGAGAAAATCAATGAAACAAAAAACTGGTTCTTTGAGAAGATCAGTAAAATGGATAAATATCCAGCCAGACTGAGCAGGGAAAAAGACAGAAGACACAAATTACCAATATCAGGAATGAAAGAGGTGGCATCACTACAGATTCTACAGATATTAAAAGAATGATAATGGAATACTATAAACAAGTTAATGCCAATAAATTCTACAACTTAATGAGGAACTCGACAAATTCCTTGAAAGACACAAACTACCAAAGCTCATTTAAGAAAAAACAGATAACCTGAATAACCCTATATCTATTAAAGAAGTTGAAACTGTACCTAAAAACCTTCCCAAAAAATAAAACTGCATGCCCAGATGGCTTCACTGGTAAAATCTATAAAACATTAAAGGATAAATAATACCAACTCTACAGCAACTCTTCTAAAACATTGGAGGGGAGGAAATACTTCCCAGTTCATTCTATCAGGCCAGCATTACTCTGATACTAAAAGCAAAGAAAGGTATTATAAGAAAACAAAACTACATATACCAACCGTCACAAACATAGAAGCAAAAATTGTAAACAAAATTTTATCAAATCAAACCCATTGAAATATAAAAGGGATAATCCATAGTTACCAAATGGGGTTTATTTGGAACACAGAGTTGGTTTAACATTTCAAAATCAATCATTGTAGTGCACCATATTAACAAAGAAAGAAAAAAAACGATCAATCTCAAAATCAAAAGATGGATAAAGAGTATTTGGCGAAATCCAACATCTATTCCTGATGTTAAAAAAAAAACTTCCAGCAAATTAGGAATAGATAATATCTATGAAAAGCTGACAGCTAACATAACACTTAATAGTGAAAGACTGAATGCTTTCTCCTTAAGATCAAGAACAAAACAGGAATGTCTGCTTTCACCTTTTCTATTTAGAATTGTACTGGAGTTTCTAGCCAATGCAACTAGTCAAGGAAAAGGAAAATAATCAGGTAAGCCAGGGGGAAAGATTAGGAAAAACAAAGGAAAGTTATTAGTTCCAAGCAAAAAAAAACAATAAAAAAAGGGGAATAATGAGAAAATGGAGAAACAAAATCACACAGAAGAACAAATTACCATAAGGATAAGGATGTCTAAGTAACATATATAAAGACATCAGCTTCCTACTTTAAAGTAAGTAAAGAACTAGTAATAAAATACTAGTGAAGAGATAAATGCAAATTTTAAAGAACTTACCGAGACAAACATTTTAAAATACTGCTTTTGCTAATTTCAACAGAGCATTCTTTGGGTAGCATTAACATATTCCCTAAAGTGGATAGAATCTAGTAAAGGTGTGAATATTGAAACACATCCTTAACATTTCTTCTTTAAATTCCATAGTCTAATGTTAATTTAATTAATGTTAAAAACAAAAATAAAGGGTAATGCAGCTTCTAAAGCTATAATTATGACACAGAATCTCAAAGCTAGAAAAAGCCTCTTTCAAAAGGTAACAAAACAGGGGCCAAAGGAAGAGCAGATCTACAAAGTTTGTACAACTATGTGTAGTAATAGGAAAAGCTGTGTCTCGATTCTAACATTAATCAGTTGTGCGACTTTAAGAATGAACTTTAGTGTCTCTGGATCTGAGTTTTTTTACACCTGTAAAATAAAGGAGTTAGACCAGTTGATCTCTAAATTCTCTTCATCATCTTTGAAAGTATAAGATCCTCTGATTCTAAACAGTCATAAGCTAAAGGACATAAACAATGAGATAAATATCTTTTTAATTCAGAGGAAAAAATTTTAAATTTCTTTTATCTAAAATGAAGACACTAGAGAAGGGTTTTTCTCATTGATTAACCTGAATATTAATTTCACTTGTTTCCTTCATTTTATTCACAGTAAAGTTTAACTATCAAAGAATCATTATACGTAATTTTCATTCTGTACCTTGTTTGAGCGTAATGACACTCGACCTCCACAACGAGCACAGAACTTTGTTTGGCAATATGAACAATTATGGCCACATCCATCAGCAAACTTTGTTTTGTGGCAGATACCACAGGTTGGGGCATCACCCTTCTGTTCTTGCTGCTGCTGTGATTCGTCTCCCATCTTCTTTACCTGTTCCTTATACATTTCGAACTGCTGATGAAGTTTTCTGCAGAGAAAACAGATAAGAAAAATTTGATTTCCTGATGGTCTCAAAAATAATAATTACCACAATTTATAGACACGATTTCATATCCAAAAAATCCATAGGATCAGAATAAAGAATAAAAATTTAATTTTCTGATTTTAGAATAAAATCTAATATGGCATATCACATCATAAAAGTATTACAACTAATTCTGCCTTCTAATATACATGTTAATTTAAGAACCAATTAATATAATGTATGTTTATAGAGATATTTCTTTGAGTTATAACCATAAAATTTCTACCTACCATTTGCAGTATATTTTCAATTATATGTCCTAAAATATCTACAATATTATTTTTCAGCAGTTTAGCTTCAGGAATAGGCTGAGCTAATTTGGCTTACAGCGAAGCCAAAACCTATGAACTTCAAAGCACTGAGACAGAATCTCAACTGGAGTGATCTTAAGGATCCAAACAGAGGGAAAAACACTGGATGAGTGCTCTTACCAATTGCTTAAATCTGTTCAACAGTCTGGGCATTAGTTGGCTGCAAAAACATTGTGAAATATTAGGTGCCTACCAAACAAGGTTGTACAAATAAAAGGCCAAGTTTTACTTTAAAAATAAAATAAAAGGATAAGAAAAAAGATGCCTAGAAAAGAGTTTTATTTACTCTAGTTAAAAATAAAAAGTGATAAAACTTTTCACTTCCGTTGCCTTTATAAGAAAAATCTAAAATATTTTAAAACTATAATTAGTTCAGCTTAGGACTTACAAAGCTGTAAATAATGTTACTCCCATCCTAAAAACGAAAAAAGTCTAAACAATTTACAAAAGCATAACTTTCTGGAGCCCATCAGAAAGTTGAGGTTATAAGGCAAACGAATAATCTGAACTCCAAAGAGCAATAAACCCCACCAAAGAGAAACAGGACACATTGTTCACCTTAGGGAGGGCACAGGAAAGAGGTGGCCACCATGCAGGCAGGTAAAAGAAAATTTGTTAAAACTTTAACAAATTGTAAAAGGCCAGATGTGGGCTAACATGACACTTTGGAATAGCTAGGAGCCCAGACTTAAGAGAAGTTTACCCTTACTTGCAAGCATTTTTCCACAGGCCTCCACTGGTTGCTCATGAAGAAGATTGTGAGCAGGGCATAAGAACAAATAACCCTTTGAGGTGTACATGTGCAGATGTAAAAGAGGTGAATAGTGGCTGCTGGGGCACAGGCACAATTTCCCAGACTCTCTATCCCAAAAAAGCCAAAGCTATAAGCCACAGGGAGAAGAATTAAATTCTGTCATCCCCAGGGCAAAGGCAAAGATCCACTGCAGCTAGGGAAAAGGTTGAAGGAAAAAACCCTGTATACCTATGAAAGAGGGACAGGAAACCATCATCAGCCAAGATCCTACCCACAAATCAAAGGCCTTTTATCACTAGAGGAGGGGTAGAAACTCCTTCCCCAAGCCACTCAGAGACACAAGGCAGATTTGCTTTCATGGGAAGGAGGGGCTAAGAACTCTGAGCAAGCTTATCTGTAAGGCTCAGGTGGACAGGGCCTATCAAAGATGGAGGGTGGGAAAACAGAATAGAACACCCTTGCCCCTACCACAGGCCTAGCATGAAGAAATAAGCATCAATAGTCTGCCACTGGGGAAGGGGCAAGAACATGGGCAGAGACTCCCCCTCTGTGGCACAAATGGAAAGGAATGGCTGAGGGGGTAGCAAAACACTGAAAAAAAATAACTTCTGGTACTCCTGCATACATCCTAAGCACAGGGCAACAGCAGCCCACCGTTAGAGGAATTTGAAGACTGTGGTGCACTAAAGATAATGATAGTAACAACAAAATCCAAACCTATCTGAACTCCTGACCCAATTGGTGATTTAATCCCTAACACTAATGGTCTGACAGAAAAGGCATGCCCACTTTAAGGCATAAATACAATTCAAAACCATGACTCAGGGAAAAATAACAAGAAATAATCCATTGTCAAGAGAAAAAATAATCAGTGCATAATCAATTAGATTCAGAGATGATAAGAATGATGGGATTATCAGACACAGACTTTAAAATGATTAAAACTATTAAGGTAAAAGATACATAGAAAAAGGCAGACAACATGCATGAATAGATAGGATATTGAAACAGAAAGATGGAAACTGTAAGAGTCAAACAGAAATGCTGGAAATAAAAAATATGCAATCAGAGATGAAGAATTTCTTTGATGGGCTCATGAGTAGGCATGAAAGAACTGAGGGAAAGGTCACTAAACTTGAAAATAAATGAATAAAACTTATCCAAACTGAAACAGAGCAAAACAAAAAAAGAGTAGGAGAAGAAGGGAAACAAAAACAAAAACAGAGCAACCAAGACCTAAACTGATCTAACATGTGAAATTGGAGTCCCAGAAGAAGAAGAAAGAGAAAACAGAACAGGAAATATCTGAAGGGATAATGACCATGAATTTTCCAAAACTAATGAAAGGCACCAAATCACAGACACATGAACCTCAGAGAGTCCTTTGTAGAACAAATACCAAATACATATATATACACACACCTAGACACATCATAGCCAAACTTCTAAAATCCAAAGAGAAAACTGAAAGCAGCCAAAGAAATGACACATTATTTGAGAACCAATGGTAAGAATCACAAAAGATTTATTCCTCAGAAACCATGCAAGCTAGAAGACTTTGGAGTGACATCTATATAACATATTGACAGAAAAAAATTGTCAACCCAAAATCCCATAGGCTGTGAAATTATGCTTCCAAAAAATGAAGGCAAAATAAAGACTTTCCAAGCAAAGAAATGTTGAAAGAATTCATTGTCAGAAGACCTTAACTGCAAGGAATTTAAAGTAAGTTCTTCAGGCAGGAGTATGATATTCCTTGGAAGTATCATATGGAAACCTGGACCTACACATAGAAATAATGTTTATATTAAAAAGAAAAAAAGTCTCAAATCAGTTTCCAAAAAAGAAAAAGAAGATAAAGTTAAACCCAAGGAACGTAGAAGAAAGAAAATAAAAAAGATTAGAGAAGAAATCAGTGAAACCAAATGCTGGTTCTTAAAAAAAAAAAATCAATAAAATTGATAAACCTCTAGCCAAAATGATCACAAAAAAGAGAGAAGCTAAAAATTACGTACAGCAAAAATGATAGAGGACCATCACCACTACAGACTCCACAGTTAAACAAAATTAAATATAAAAGGTTATAAAAGAATACTGCAAACAATCTATGCCCATAAATTCTACAACTTACATGAGCAATAAACCATTTCCTTGAAAGACAGAAACTGGCACACCTCACTCGAGAAAAAATAGATAGCCTGAGAAGTCCTATATCTAGTAAAGAAATTTAATTCATAGTTTGAAAACCTTTCAAAAATAAAACTCTAGTTCTAGATGGCTTCATTGGTGAATTCCACCAAATATCTAAGGAAGAAATAATACCAATTCTACATAATCTCATCCAGAAAATAGAAGAGCAGGGACCATTTCCTAACTAATTTCCTAATACCAGCATTACTCTGATACCAAAACCATACAAAAATATAACAAGAAATGAAAATTATAGACCAATATTCCTCATGAGAAGCTGCAAAAATTCTCAACACAACATTAGCAAGCCAAATCCAGAAATATGTTAAAGAATAATGCATCACAAACAGGTAATGTTTATCCTAGGAATGCAAGGCTGGTTCCATATCCTAAATTTAAGCATATTAACAGATAAATTCACCATATTAACAGATTAAGGAGAAAGAAACATATGATTTTGTCAAAATATGCTAAGAAAGACTTGACTCTGCAAACTAAGAATAGACAGAAACTTCCTTAATGCAACAGGGGATTTACAAAAACGCCTACAGCTAACATCATACTGTATTGTGAAAGACTGAATGCTTTCCGCCTAAAATCACGAACAAAGCAAGGTGTCCTCTCTCACCACTCCTAATTGACATTGGACTAGAAATTCTAGCCAGTGCATTAAAGCAAGAAAAAGCAAGAAAAATAAAAAGCATAGAGATTGGAAAGGAAAACAAAAAACTGTGTGCATACGGCATAACTGTCTATGTATAAAATCCCACAGAAACTAGAAAAAAATCTATAATAAATAAATGAGTTTAGAAAAGTCACAAAATACAAGCTCAATATACAAAAAACAATTGTATTTTTATATACTAGCAATGGATAATTGGAAATCAAAATTTTAACAAGTAATCTGCAATGGTATCAAAAAAAAAGAAAAGACTCAGGTATAAATCTAGCAAATACGTACAGGCTTTCTATGGTGAAAACTATAAAACACTGATAAAAAAATCAAAAGAGATCTAAATAATAGGAGAAATATACTGTCAATGAGAAGACTCAATATTGTTAATTGTTAATAGCAATTCTCTCCAAACTGATCTATCAAGTCAATGTCATTTCAATCAAAATATCAGCACGATTTTTTTTAAGAAATTGACAAGCCAATTCTAAAATGTATATGGAAAAGCAAAATTCCTAGAATAGGCAAAATATTTTGAAAAAGAAGAAGGTTGAAAGACTCACACTACCTGATTCCGAGACTTACTATAAAAGCTACAGAAGTAGTCAAGTCAATATGGTATTGGCAAAGGATAAACACATATACCAATGGAACAGAATAAAGTCCAGAAATAGTTCAATTCTTAAATGGTAATTAATTTTTTTTAAAGTACCAAGGTAATTCGAAAGAGAAAGAATAGTCTCTTAAGCAATGGGAAATTCATGTGTAAGAAATGTAATTGGAAATCCATGTGTGAAAAAAATGAGCCTCAACTCATACCTCACACCTTACACAAAAATTAATTCAATGGATTACAGAACTGTAACTAATGGATTACAGAACTAAATATAATAGATTACAGGACTAAATATAACGACTAAAACTATAAAACTTCTAGAGGAAAAAAATGAAGAAAATTGTGGCCTTTGGTTAAACAAAGACTTCTTAGGTAGGTTAGCAAGTATTTCTGC